AACGGCTGGCCAAATACCTGCCAGTGTCAATTTTGGAAGAAGTTACGACTACCTTGTGACATCAAATTCGGCTGTAAACCAGATGACTTAGCTGGAGATTATGTTACCAACCTTCGAAGAATGCTTAACGATATCCACGAATCCAGTTCGTCTGCATACGCAGATTGCTAATGACAGGATTAAATAAAACTACGATATTAAGGCTACAGCAGGTGGTTACCTAACTGGAGATTTTGTTGGGTTGTATAATCTTCGTCGTCGCCGTGGACTATCACCTAAGTTCCAACAGAATTGGAAAGGACCCTATGAGATAGTGAAGAGGATTAACGACGTGATTTACCGAATTAAGAAAACTCCAAATGGAAAGCAGAAGGTAGTCTATTTTAATCGCTTGACTGCATTCGCCGGTGCAAATGAAAAAGAAACGCGGGCCAGATTATTAAGAACTATTCCTTACGAGCCCACATTCGAAGAGTTCATGAAGGAAGGCCCCCATGTTAACAGGAGATTTGGAGTGACGCAAGAATTCCGACGAGACCGCTTTGCTATATCTAAGGAATATTCTCTGGTCCATTGCGTTTCAGAGAATCTCAGAATGAGCCGTGGTATCGCGTCCGAGTTCAAACACAGATTTGGCGGTTTGGAACATCTTGAAGAAGTACAGAAGAGAAAAAGATTGTTGTGCCTGCCTGACGGACGACGCAATATCTATCACCTAGTAACTAAAGATAGATGCTCCGATGAACCAACTTGTAGAGACCTTTGGGAAGCAGTAATGGAACTCCGCGGACATCTTCTGGAGAATAACCTACAGACGCTGGTGATTCCGAAGCTTGGTTGTGGACTGGACAACCTAGATTGGAGGATCGTACGGAACATAATCGAAGTCCTGTTCCGCCGTACTAGAATGGACATTTTGGTTTGCAGTAATAACCCGAATCGGACCAATCCTGAGAAAACCGTGGACTGTTACTTCTATTCCCGGAGAACTGCAGATTTCGGCATGATCCTGCGAAACGGAAAATGAAAATGTTTCGGGACGAAACATTCTTAAGGAGGGGGCAGTGTAGCGAGCACGAGTGTGTTTGTGTGGGATCGGGCACACGTGTGTGTGAACGGCTTATCGATTCACCGACTAACTGCGAGTGCCTTTCTTCATGTGCGCCGTATTTGTAAATGTGTATGTCGTACCTGCGTTTTGGGGAAAGCAGTTAAACAGTTCAAAGAAAAAACAAACTATCTGGACGTTTCTAGAAGGCTCCCGAAAGTAAACAAAAGAGTATTTAAAGGAAGAGATGATCGCCAAAAGGAGAAGAAATAAATTGACCGTTTCAGAAGTGAATCCAGATATAAATTGACAGAGACAGCAGTGAAATAAATAGCGCAGCGAATAGTGATATCAACAGTAATGTAAATAAATAGAATAATTCATAACTTAAGTTTAGTAATAATTTGATAGTGTTTTTAAGTTCTTTAATAATTAGTGTAAATAAATAGTTTTTGTCATTATCAGTTTTAGAAGTTAATTTTGTTAAACCCACGAACATTAGAATATGTATGTATGTATATGTATACAAATGCATACTCATATACACTTCGACGACTCTGACTTAGTAGGTATGTTTTGTCGTTGTTGCTATCACCTCTCGTAATTTAGTGATAAGCATATTGGTGAGTAAAGCCAAGAACTCAAGTATGACAGCAGCAACAAAGTTTTCCTCGTTAACTCGAGGTAATCAGTAGTGGGAAGAAATTAACTTGATTATAATAATGGATAATTAATGAAATGTATATGTTCATAAGGGTTGTACATGTATATATTAGAATCAAAGCCCGCCAACAACCACAGCCAGTAGTGATCATTTTTAGACCGCCAACGGCTATTCGTGATCATTGGCGAACTTTGATCCTAACTAAAAAACAACAGGTAATGTTGACTTGAAGCAGTTTAATTTAATCACTTTAAACAAGAAAGGTGACTCATTGAATTTATGGAAGAGTAGACGGATACCAAAATAAGGACGAGCAGAATTGTACAGAGGTGAATGATAAGAGTTCATTGAACTGACAATAAAACCAAGAGTTTTAGATGCTTGTGGGGCTTATATGTTTTTAGAAAGATAATGAAGAGTCAAATATTACTCCTAGATCTTTTATAGAGCGAATATAATTAGGAGTTGATAGTCGAAAAGGATACTATTGTACCAACCACGATAATATGAACAAACCTTACATTTCTTAATGTTGAGAAGTAGGCCATTGACCTTGGACCATTATGACTCTTTGCAATTTACTACAATATAATGTAGACCTAATATTAATGAAAATTTTCGCGTCGTCAGCATAGAGTTAAGGTTTGCTGTAACTAATAACATAACAATAACCCTGGAGAACATCAAAGGGAGTAGGGAGAGGGAGTCGCTTATTTTGACCTAACCTGTACTTATTATTATATCGGGTTGTTCGGAGTCATTTCGTTTTTTCCCGACAGAGGATTTAATTGTATTCTTTTGCACCCAACTTCACATTTAAGCCGTATAATTTTTATATGCTTCGAGAGCTCATATAGCAAGGCTTTTGTGTGAAAAATTCCAATTAATTCTATGCAGTAATTTTTGGTTGGTGCCCTTTTAAATATGGAGAGCGATAAACAGCATTTTCGACATATCTTACTGTTTTACTACAGGAAGGGTAAAAATGCTGTTCAAGCCAGAAAGAAATTGACTGATGTGTATGGAGAAGGTGTGTTGACAGTACGCCAGTGCCAGAACTGGTTCGCTAAATTTCGATCCGGCAATTTAGATGACGAAGATGCAGCACGTTCGGAAAGGCCGGTTGAAGCTAATAAAGACGCGCTAAAGACATTAGTTGATGTGAACCGTCGAATAACAACACGTGAGATCGGATTGAGGTTAAATTTATCAAATTCAACAGTTTATGACCACTTGAAAGGCCTGGGATTATCCTCAAAGCTCAATGTATGGGTTCCCTATGTTCTCACAGAGAGAAATCTGTGTCGCCGCATTGACGTCTGCGATTCGCTTCTCAAACATCACGAAAATGATCCGTTTTTGAAGCGCAACATCACTGGGGACGAAAAATGGGTTGTATACAACAACGTCAAACGAAAGAGGTCATGGAGCAAAAAAGATGAACCGGCTCAAACCATTTCCAAAGCCGATATTCACTAAAAAAAGGTGATGCTGTCTGTTTGGTGGGATTTTAAAGGAATCGTTTTTTTTAGCTTTTACCGGATAACAACGATTAATTCGCAAGTCTACTGTCATCAGCTGGACAAACTGAATGATGCACTTCAACAGAAAAGGTCAGAACTAATCAACAGGAAAGGTGTAGTGTTTCACCAAGACAACGCGAGACCTCACACAAGTTTGGTCACTCGCCAAAAGCTTTTACAGCTTGAATGGGATACAATGCTACACCCACCATATTCTCCAGACCTGGCACCATCGGATTATTATTTGTTCCGGTCACTCCAAAATTTTTTAGACGGTAAAACCTTCACCTCAAATGAGGAGGTCAAAAACCTCCTCGATCAGTTTTTGCCAGCAAAGACCAAAAATTTTATGAGCGTGGAATTATGCTACTACCAGAAGGATGGCAAAAGGTGTTGGGCCAGAACGGTCAATATATAATTTAATAAAGTATTTGTTTATTATACGAAAACTGTCTTTCATTTCCACAAAAAAAAAAGAAATGACTTTCCGAACAACCCTATATTATATTAGTTAGGTACGACTTTAGCCAAGAAAGGAGAACACCCCCTTATACCTAAGTTAAAAAGTTTACTTGGAAGCCTTGAATGATTAGCCGCGTCGAATGTTTTAATAAAGTCTTGGTAGTTCGTACTAAAACAGGATACTGTACAGTCCATGAATAACAGTAGGCTAGCGAATGTGGAGCGACGCCGGACAAAACCGTTTTGTTTCTGGATGATCTTGACTAGAAAAGAGTTAGAAAGTTGATCTACTATAATAACGTCTAATAGTTTAACAGAAAAAAAACAATATAGAAATCGGTCTGTAATCTACGATATGTTGTTGGTCTCCAAATTTAGATGGGTGAGATTGAGAAGATTTTCCAGGAATCAGGCAGATTACTATGGAAAAACTACAATTTTTAAGAAAAGTAAAAAGTAGGTAGTATGAGATCGGACCCATGATGTAGATTGCTATTGATTTTCGTAGGACTTCACAAACATCACTTCGAGTTACTTTAATTGAGTTAAGGGAATTAATTATATCATGTAAAGACTGAACAATATAATATGAAAACATGCACAATTGTAACTAGAAAAATTAGTCATATTTGTAATTGAGGAATACATTATTACAAATTGCCAGATTACTTTAACAAATGAGTAATGGATGTTTATAAAAATTAAAATAGTGGATGTATTTCATTTGCATATTCTGAAGAAATTTGTCCAAACCCAAAAGACCTAAAGATAGCACTTGAATATAAGAAAACAGTAAAAATATGGATAGGCAAAAATCACAAAGTATATTCCAAATCTTAGCCAGAAAATATACAAAAAGCGGAAAAACTACTTTCTAGGATTGATACATATTGTAATGTTCGTAGGTTTAACAAAATTAACTTCTAATACGGTTAACGACACAAACTATCTATTTAGACTAATTATTGAAGAACATAAAAACACTATTAAATTATTATTAAACTTAGGTTATGAATTATTCTATGTATTTACACTAGTGTTGATATACCTATCACTATTCACTGCGCTATTAATTTCACTGCTATCAATGTCAATTTATTTCTGGATTCACTTCTGCAACGGTCAATTTATTTCTCCTTTTTAGGCGATCGTCTCTTCCTTTAAATACTCTTTTGTTTACTTTCGGGAACCTTCTGGAAACGTCCCGATAGTTTATTTTTCTTTGAACTGTTTAACTGTTTTCCCAGAACGCAGGTACGACACACATTTACAAATACGGCGCATATGACGAAAGGCGCCCACGGCTAGTCGGCGAATCGATAAGCCGTTCACCCACACGTGTGCACGATCGCACACAAACACACTTGTGCTCACTACAATATATTTGCATGGTTGGTTCTGCAACAACCCAGTACACATATGCCCATTCAGAATGTGCATACAAAGACGCCAGTGTTTGGAGACATATGAATTGAATACATATTAGATGTGCAAAATGTTGTACTTTACATGCCATTCTGTCAAGGGCTATAAAAGAATATCACTGACCAAAACAACTAGTCCTAGAGTTGTCGAAAAGTAAAAGAAATGTCACGAGGTAATAGTAATTCAAAAAGAAGAATAACACGGGAACAAAGAAAAAATTGTGATCTGTGCCAAGAATTACAGGAAACTTAAAAAAAATTGAAACAGCTTGACGATAATTATGCACAAGGTCTATTGAGAATCGAGAGAATATCTGAAAATCAATTATGTAAGTTAATCTTAAATCACAATTAATGTTTCAGTTATCAACATTCAACATCACTTAGTGTTGTTATGTATATTTAATGTTGTATTGCTCACATCTACACATCATATTTTTATATAACACAAATTTATTTTTATGCATGTATTTCTATACATGTAATGTCATTGCATGTTATGCAAATGTTTATAAGATTAGTAGTATAAAATTTTATGAGTAATTTTGCTATAGAAATAATTCACTTTTACTGAAGAAGTTGTACATGTTGTATTTTTCGAATTGATGGTAATTTAAGAAATTATAAGAAGTAAAGAGGAAAGCAAAAATCGTATAAAGGACTCCGGTCACTCTTTATTACTGTGTGTTCGTGGTTCAAAAAGTTATAGGTTTCTGGAAGAAAAAAAAACTTCCCTTTGTCATGTAACTCAACTATCCATAAATTCAAATGTTGATGTTGGTGATGTTCTGACACAATTTTTTTTCAGTTTGAGAAACAGCTAGACGTTGTTGATTGTTGCAACAACTCAATTCTTATAATCCGTGACTTCAGTAATAGTTATATTCGATGTTGCCTCTGACGATATTACGGTGACAATTGGTCGATGATAACTGAAGCAATTTTGACTACTTTTTTAACCGTGCAGCGGTCACGTCAATGTTCAGGTCGGGCACAATCGCGCGGATGACAGTGGTCATCCACAGTTTGTTTAGGGCCACCTTACGGATTTAATATCTTTTTGTGTTACAAGGTAATCAGAATTTATTACTGATGGTATAGAGAAAGTATTAATTACCAACAGAACTCAAAAAATATTTTTATTACATACATGATAGTTATTTTACAAGTTAATTTGTATTTTCCAAACACTGTAGACATATGTCCGTGAGATGTTCGCCACAGGCCCAAATTTGACACTTACAGCACCATCTTCTTATAGTTTTGTTCCTCTGCCCCCCGCATGGTACCTGGTCTCTTTTGAGGAACTGTTGATTCTTCTATGCGTAGCAGTACACGCGCTCGTCGTCTAATTTCCTTTGGAATCGTTAGAACTGCTGTCCTACGTTCAATTTGCGGTTTAATTAGCTCCCAGCTAATGTTTTGTAGAAAAATCCTCCTTTGAATTTGTCTTGATTCTCGAGTATTGGCTTTGTATATGACGAATGCGTTGATCGCTGATATGTTCAACAAGTTGTAAAACATAACTAGAGGCCATCGTCGAGTATTTCTTGATACATCATATTTCTGGCACAGCTGATCAACTAAATCAACACCCACTTTCGTCATGTTATAAAAGGTTACAATTTCCGGCTTTTTATGATCACCGGTAGATACATCTATAGTATCGTCAAAATGCATGCTCGAGAGAAGAATTACACTTTTACCCTTCTTAGGACAATATGATACTAGGGTACTATTCTTGCCAAATCCAAAAATTGACGATTTCGCAGGAATACTTCTATTGGGTAAAAATTCCTTAGGTATCTCGCGTTTGTTCTTGCGCATTGTTCCAACGTATGTGAGTTTTTTCTCTAATAGCAGTCTTTCAGATACCGTAACACTCGTAAACCAATTATCAGCAGTAATATTCCTATTCGTGCCTTCAACAGGATTACATAAGCGTAATACAATTTCTTCTCCAGAGTTACCCACTTGATATGGACCTTCCGGTTGTTTTCCAACATAGGGTTCTAAGTTTATAGTGTAGCCAGTTTTACAATCAACTAAAGCAAAAATTTTCAAACCATATTTAGCCGGTTTGCTCGGTATATACTGGCGAAACGAGCAATTTCCCCTGAAAGCTAATAACTGTTCGTCTACTGTCAAATACTCACTGGCGCAGAAGTATCTTTGGAAATTATTTATTAATAGTTCATGCAAATCTCTGATCGAACACAATTTGTCAACTTCTTTTCGCATATGTCTGTCTCGTATGTCGTCGAATCGTAGACATTGCAGCAAAAACTTGAAACGGTTCTCACTCATCTTCAAATAACACGATTCAAGTCCATTGCCTCTTGAATTATCCCACAAGTCGTGCATGTATTTTCTGGAGCAACGCAACGATCCGATAAGGTACAATAGTCCAATGAATGCGCGAATTTCAGTCACATCCGTATCAGCGGCGTCACGAGCCCTACAATATTTTTCTCGCACAACTCCAATTTTGATGTTTGTTGAAGCAACAATCATGCGAAAAACGTTATCGTCTAAAAAGAATTTCAAAATATCTATTTCTTTCTGCACGCCATGCGCTTCTCTTCTTGGGTCAGGTAAATGAATGATTATGTTGCAGGAACGTGTTCTTACATTTTGTCGAGGCTTAACTTTGCACCATTTAGTAAATTTATCTTTACCGATGTAAAAATTTTCCGACTCACTGTCGCTGATGTCATCACAGTCGTTATCGCTTTCTAAATCACCCGCCTCTTGCTCGGATCCAGTTTCATGTGGACTTTCTTCTAAAATATCTGCTTCAATTTCGGAACAACTTTCTTCATCCTTCTCATTTTCTTCTTCACTCATTTCCTCGAACCATTTCAGCCAGACACTTGGATCATCAGAAGTCAATTTTCTTTTTTTGGTGTCCTCCATAGCTGAAAATTTCCTCCAATATGGATCCTAAAATGCTGTGTTGAACTAATGTAAAATATAAATTGCAGTAGTACCTTCAGCGATGAGAAATGGTGGAAAATATACACAGTGTCTATGAAACCAACACTAACGTCAATGGTCGCGTGGATGACACCTGTCCTCCGGGTAACTTTAACTCACACCAAAAGCCTTATTACTAAAAATCAATTCAAAACTACTCGTTCATACCACATGCGTATACATAATAAGCAGCTATTGGGAACCACAGTTCCCCACCTAAACCTATACCAACTCTATCAGCAAATTAAAAGTGACGGATGACAAGTGTCATCCGCGCGACCACTGAAGGGTTAAGTAAAGCACAGGTTATGTGTACCGTAGTAAACAACACTCTATTCACTGTAGGTATCCAAGCACGGTGTGGCGATCGAGATGACGTACGTCGAACCGAATGGAAACCAACAGTGATTATTATTAGTCAAAATTCCGTATCAAGTGAAGCAAAACAAGTAAACAACATCCTATAAAAAAAATAGGCTATGTAAAACGTTTCTTTCAAAACCACTGACAGAAATCCACTCGCAACAGAAAATCAGTTTCAAGAAAGACGTACTCGCTGCAAATGATAAGGACGCGACAACTGTTCTTTTAAAAATTGCCACACATTGAGGAGCCAACGTTCTCTGCTTTCACTTTATCGGCAGCGTCCGTTTTAGATTTGTTTTGTATCTTTCTACTCATGTATTGTTTATTTGTTAGATTAGATTAACTGTGATTGACAATGTTTTTGTTACAACCTGTCTTGAGTAGCCATTTATTCTTTTAATGTTGTTAACGTGTATGTATTCGGTGGAGTTGGTGGTAGGTAGGTCAACGTGCCATTGTCGTAGGTCAATAACAACCTCAAAGGTGGTGTGGAAATTTGCCTTACAATTAATAAAATACATTACCATGTGTAGTAGCCTAGTAGTAAACTGTTTATATTTACATTAGCCGTTGAACAACCAGCACGGTATATTTACAATCCCTATCAATGTTGCTGCTTGGTTGGTATCGCAACCGTGTACTAATACCTGTGTTGCTAAATTCAAGCCTAGAACCTGCTTTAAGAGATTGCCATTTGTTTTTTTTTCTTACAAAATTTTTTATCCCTTAATCATGCTTCTTAGTCACACCGCGATTACCTATTACCACCAGTTAACACCCTTCAAAGCTTGCCAATTATTCCAGAAACACCCTGTATATAATATGTGGGATCGCATTTGATGGGTAAACATTTAATTATGAAAATAATGTTTTACTCCTTGCATTTTTTTTACATTGATAGTAATCACCTGTTGATCATTTTAAGTTTACAATTATATCGGCCCAAAGTGATGAATCTAATTAAATCTACATAATTCTATTAGGTAATTTTTTGATGTCTGACTTAGTCCAAAGGTACCTTCAACAACATATTATTGTATTGTCTTTCATAATTTTTACCTTTAGCTTTTTTTCCAGACTGCTTTTTCCCTTCCCCTTCCTCTTCAACATCGCCTTCATCATCACCCTTCAGTCTTTTTCGCAGCATTAAGGAAAAGTAATTCAAATGTTTATTTCTTTTACTAAATTCTTGTTCAGCTTCTTCTGCTGAAAGAGCTTTAAATCGCTGAATAGGTTGAAATTTATACCTACAAATAGTGAAGTTTAATAAATTTATTTGTTATAATAACATATGTACTGACCATTCTTGCAAAGGAAATGCTTCAATTGCACCATCAGCCGCATGTGTAAATACATAATATGATGCATTTTCACTAACGCCTCCTTCCCTAATACCTACAAAATTGTGGCATACATTTCCATATACAAGACACTACATAATATCACTAACCCTTAAATTTTTTGACAGTACTTCCATAAGACTTCAAAATCCATGGCTGGTCATCAGGTTTATATTTCCTTTGAATTATACCTAACTTCTTTCTTCTTGCTTCTTCTCTAGCTTCTCGTCCAAATTCTGAACCTGCTCCAAATCTATTAATGTTAAGCAAAATTAGCTGCAAGATTGTTCAATAATTAAAATTAAATATTTACTTCATTTATAATAACACTTACCTTGGAGTCTCTTCATCAGGCCCTTTGAATTCTTTTAAATTATTTTCTCGTTCCATTTTTACTTGCGTCCATTTTGAAATATCAACGTCTAAAGTTGCATTAAATCTCATAACGTGGTATCTCTTTTGCAAATTCTTAGGTACACGAATACTGTATTCTTGTACAGTGGAGCTCTAAAATATAATTCAATATTATATGCACGAATATTTATACATAAATAAGGTTCTCACAGAAGCAGCTGTTGAAGCCATATCGTTCGAATTTGAGTATATTACGCTTCTTCACACATATATTTAATAAAAGATTGTAAAATTATTCTTTATGAACTTAGATACCGCTAATCTATTTATGCACTAAACCATATTCACTAATCATTTGGCTGTTATCACTGTTATTGTACATCAGTAGACTATACTATAATAATTGTGTCTGTGACAGAAAACACACTGCGCGGTGCCCAGCGTTGCCAGGTTCAGTAGATAGAATTATCGCACTTTTTAGGTAAAATTATCGTATTAACATAAAAAATATCGTACGTTATTGCGTATGCGCATCGGAGTAATAGTCTAGTGGTGGGAGTATGAATTTGTAAAGAGAGTCTGTGTACCCCAGTGGTTTTCTCGGTTCTATTATACCATCAGTAGATGACACCATAAAAACTTTCCTGACAGGCTAATAACTTCAAATAAAAAAATGAATTTGAGAGTCCATAAACAATTAAATTTAGTGTATATAGTGTATATATTTTAGCATTACAAAATTGTACTTAAGTTCTTAAAATCAACTATTCAACATACATAAAAATATTTTTTTTTATAATAAAATCTAATACAATAATAATAATCAACGTATTAATTCTGTTTTATTATTATATCGTCATCACTATCATCACCATTATTCTTATTATTATTTTTATGAAGATTATTCGAATTAAAACGAGATAACATTTCATCAGTGATCTTAAATTTATTGCATCCCCAATTCATTTCAACACACTGACTTGTAAGTAAAATCCCGTTAACCGCAGCCAGTTTAGCAAGGAGAAGCTCTTAGGATCTATCTGAGAAGGTTTCGAGAATCAAAAGAGCCGAGTGTGACCGGCTCTGTTGTAAATTAGAGAGAATTTGTATTTTTATGAAGTGAAAATTTTGTTCTATTAACAAAAGATTTTAAGAAGGTAGAAAAACAAGGCAACAGGTTGGCAGAAACAAATATCATAGTCCCACTACATATTACTATTTGAAAATATTTTTTTATACCATAAGATACGTTTAATAGAAATTTGAATTACGATATCGTACATCGTATTTGAAGTAAAATTATCGTATGTCCACATAATTATCGTACAGGCTGGCGGTGTCTGCCTAGCATCAACGTTTACTAATGGAAATGCCTTAGCGGTCAGAATTGTGGTACAACAAAAGAAAGAGATGGAACGAAGTTTCGGACAATATCCATCTCTCTCATGATAGTGGGTAAGCGTATCATGAAAGAGATAGCACTAGTCCGAAACCATAAGCCATCCTATCACTTTTCGAGCCAAGAAATTATTACGACGTACGGCTAAGGCACGTCCATTAATATATGGCTATGCTGCCTGGGGTGTCTGGGGAACATTATCGAAACTAATTGAATAGTTCCAAAATCCCCCGAAATCATTTTGTAGCATGAACTATCATTTATGTATAACTATTGTGATATATAATATAATAATATACTTATCCGTTCCTTTTTCTTTAAAAAAGTCGAAACGAAAGAAAATTAAATGATAGCATATATACATACGTACATTCTCTTCTTAGCGCGGGAATAATGTATCAGAAATTTAAACTCTTAGATATAAATCGGAAATATTCGGTAGACACGCCGCCTGTGTCTGCCGGAAAATCATCATGTCAATTCGATTCTATCCATAGATAAATAATAGATCTCTCACTCTCACACTGATGAGCCACGAAAAAAGTCGAACGCTGACAGCTATGGCTTAAACCTTACAATAAGAACAAATTAACTGTCACATTTTTATGTCCCACGGAAGACGGATGCATTATTAACGTTATTGTTTGGTTGGGTAGTTTTATGACAGACCGGAATTTTCTCGATGCCCCTGCCCACGCTGTATGTTGAAATAATGTCTTCGAAAAGTATGTTTCATTATGATTTCCACGTATTTGCTTTAATTCAAATGTCTCATGACGTTAAACAATGGAACATTTCATTAAAACCGTTTTGTGCTCATAGAATATGAACATTTCATGCCCGTTTGCACAGACGTTTTACTAAGACAGACTTAACAAAGTACTGCTTAAGGATAAGTCTTACATAACTTCCAATTCGTTTGCACCGTATGCTGTCTACCTGCAACTTAAGTAAGTAATGCTTAGTTGTTGATGGTTTGGCAACAACGGTAAAATTTAGTAATTTGTAGGGTTTTTTGTGCAGAATGGTCAAGAAGTTTCAAATTTATTGTGTCCGTTAAGTAACGTCTGGTGTCGTGAAGTGTTGTTTGCCGCCTTTTTCTGCTGTTATACGTTTTTGTAATTATTTGTGTTTTGTTAGGTTTTGTTGTGTTTTAGTTTGTATATATATTAGTGATATGGTCTTAGAAACAATTTTTAGTTGTAATTGGTAAAGTGTAGAGACAATTTTCTTCTGAATTTCGTATAAACAATCTTTTCCAACTAAAAGCAGTACTACAGGAGTTTAACTTTTAACGCCAACTGCCAAAATGAACTCTTAAGTGTAATCTAAAAGTGTTTATTTTCAATAAAAACCAAACTTCTGATAAAACGTACTACTATTGTATATTATTAGTTCATCTTCTATTACTAATGATTAGCTATTGGCGTTCTTATCACTACTCCAGTTAAATTGTGTACATTTTCAAATTTCTAATATATCATCAGATACTAATTACTACTCTTGGAATGTAAATAATCCGTACATTGCAATACAATAACATAAATGATAGCACACACCAAGTTCCATTTAATGATAATTTAATTTAATAATTATTATATTGTTTATTTTATTATTTAATAGTAACATGATAATAACCTCTTTACTATAACGATGTTATTTTCTTACGGGGAAAAATGCCGAACTACTGCCGAAATTGTTACGACAGGCTTAAGCAATGCTTAAGTCAGGAACATCCTGTGCTTAAAGTTACGCATCTGTTTCGATTCTTAAGCGCGACTTAACTTGCGGTGCAAACCAATTCCGTCTTTTAAGAACTACTTAAAGCTAAGTAGTACTTATTTACGTCGGTGCAAACGGGCATCA